GAGGGGGGATGGGGTGGTGGGGAGGAAGCAAGTATACGAATGGGGGCTGGACCCCCGACCGCCGGTGTCGGCAGAAGAGGCTTTTGGCGAGAGATACATGGCAAATTGGCCCGCGGTGGCACAGCAAGCACTGAACGCTCGCACTAAATAATTGGTAGAGTCAAGAGTGCCCAGATGGTAGCGCCGTAGATAGTGTGAAAAGTGCTCGCATGGTAGCGCCGCAAGTGCTGTCACCGTTTGAGGTTTAGTGCGGCGCAAATGTAACGTAGCATTTACCGATGTGGGTGTTTATCCTCGGCCTCTGTGTGGTGGCGCTTCTATCTGTCGTTGGCGTGGCTCTCTGGGTCAATCTCCGCAAGAACTCCCTCGTGCTAAAAGCCAGCGTCCTCGTGGCGGTGTTTATCCCGCTTTCGATCGTCGTGTTGTTGCCGACGGATTGGGTCAACCACAACCGCCCCCAGCCGCTTGCCGGGCTCGATGTCGGCGAAACCACCTACTTGTGGCTCTGGAGAAGCGCCTACTGGGTGACGTTCGCCCTTACCTGGCTTGTACTCCCCATGGTGTTGGAGTTCTATCGCAGTGGCCACTACCACCCGATAGCGCGGATAAAGGACGCGTTCCGGGCTAATTTGAAGTTCCAGCTCATGATGCTTGGCTTGGGGATATTGTCGGCCGTGTACTTCATGGCAGAGGTGGGATTAACGCTCGGACACTTTAAACTGATGGTAATGGGCCTCACTCATATTTACTCGTTGGTGCTTACATTATGGCTCATGGCACACTCACTAGTGCTGATCCCTCGCCAGCTGTGGACGACGGCGCTGCCAGTACTGAGACTCAACTACTTATACCAGCGAGTGGTGCCGTTGGTGGACAAATTGGACGATACCCGCACCGGGTTCCGCGACGACATTTTGCGGGTGATGATGCTTGCCAACAACTTTGCCAACGAGCTCGAGTATCGGGACTGGATCTTGCTGCTTGAACGGCGGATTCCCGATGAGCTTAGGACCCAGTTGGAAAGGGAGTACCGCAGCGAAGAACCCCACTTGTTGGTGCCCTCAGTCGACGAAAACTATATGGTGAGCTTAACGCAAAAGTTTAACCGTCACCACGATAATTTGGTCGCCTACCAATCGGAATACACTAAGCTTTTGCTCGATATCACTCGCTTGGAAGACCTGTTGGGCCATGATCCTCATTCAGTGGTGTACCGGTTTGCCACGCTGAACCCTAAACGCACCTACTACTGGACCGTCTACGGACGCCCCAACTTAATGAGAGTGGTAGCCGTCGTTCTGGCGGTGCTCTCAGTGACCATATTGTTCCTGGAGATGGTCCACCTGACCAAAGTGTCCCCCGTCAATGTTGTGGTCACCCGCCTCGCCGGCTACGCCCAGTGGATGATGATGATCTTCGTGTACTGCTACATGCTTGTGTGTGCGCTCTCGCTGCTTACCTCGGTCAAAGTGTTCAACGTCTACCATTTAGTGCCGCACGACCTGGACCCGGTGCTGGCGCTGTGGTACGCGATGTACGTGGCCCGGACGCTGTTCCCGCTCGCCTACAACTTTTTGGGGTTGCTCGTGCTGCGGACGCTGGTGTTCGAGCAGTGGTACGGCGCCCTGTTGGGGCTCACCGGCTTATTCCTGGCGCTCAACGAGTGGTTGCCCCGGCTCATTCTAGTGCCTATTTTGATGCTGGCGTTCAACGTGTACCACCGGGTGAAGAAGCGGGTGGGGTTCATGGAGTGGTTTGACGACGACAGCGATGCTGAGGCCGACGAGAACCGGTCGCTTGAACTGCCACGGGACACTCGCCACGAGCACGTGATCGCCGAGGCCAAGCGGCTAGTGGAGCGGGAGATGCACCGGCGCACTCGTACCACTGCCTAAAAGCCCATTGGTCCAATAAACAACTATACCCCTGGGGTCATTTGCTTTCTACAAATGGTTAATGGAATGTCGATTAAAAGTACTGTCGTTGTCTATCGCTCTATTAAGGATGCATGAAAAATAATAATAATAATAGTCGTCGTGTCGTCGCTTCGTCTGGCCCGCAGAGATCCTGGCACGCTGAGGGATATGGGGAGAGATACCACAAACTACTCGTCGTAATAGTAGTCGTCGTCGCTGTCGCTGTCATCGTCCAGCTCCAGCTCCAGCGCCAGCGCCAGCAACCCCTCCTCGTCCAGCAGCAGCTCGAGCTCGACGATCTCGTGCTCCTCCTGCTGCTGCTTCACCTCGGCGCGGTACTCCAAGTACAAGCGGTCAAGCATGTTGGCCTGGCACACGAGCTTGCGCAACGGCGAGTAGGGCAGGGCGGCGTCCTTGACGAGCTTGGCGTGAACCTGGGCCACCATCTGGTACTTTAGCTGGCTCATTATGTTTGGCGGTAAACGTGTGGTATGGAAAAGGTAAGGGACGAGTAAAGTGTTTTGGGGTCAGTGGAGGGCTGGCTAAGAGGCAGAGTCTCTTTGGCCACAGACACTGAGCTGGTGGGTTGAGTAAGGGAAAAGCGGTGGTGATGGTGCATCCTTATATGTTCACAGAGCCCCTCAAACCGGTGCTGCAAGCGTCGATGTGGAGACCGATGGCCAGAAAATATCGTTTAAATTGTTGACGCACGCGCGCCTATTTGCCCTGCACCCATGGCCGAGACCAAACAACGGCTCCCTTTACCATGTAAACGGGTGAGACAGGGGTCGGTACTGCTGCTAGCGACGCTAGTTTTACCGGAAACCATAGAAACCGAGGCCGGCGCCCGCTCGCTGCCGTTTTCACGCCATTTCTCTCACGATACACCTCATAGTTCGGCTGCACCTGGGGCAACCACAGTTGCAGGATGGGTCGTCCTGCGTGGGGAGTTAAATGAAGGTCGCTGTATGCCCGCATCCAGCAGCGCCTTCGACGCCTACACCCTCTGCACGTTTGCAAAAAATATCCACTTTTGTTAGCTGGGGGTGTCGCCCGCAGCCCTCCAGCAGCGGGAGGTGAGCAGCATGCCCGCAGTGGCCTGAAGTTTGCCAAAACAGCATACCCTGTCGAAACGGGTAATGTAGGCCATATCCACAGTATTGGCACCGGGGTCGGCGTGGTCGTTACTACCATTATCCCCGGAAATGGTGAATCAATTGCATAGACAATATTTCTCGGAATAATCAGCCCGGCTTAAGCCACCACATGTAATGGGATTCCGTCTGTAAAGAATTAGCCGCCACCGCTTCGATTACGTCGGCGTTAAGCCACGTCGAGGGTGTATGTGTTTTTTCTCATACGTAAGAGCGGGGCTCCTACCACAAGAGCGATGGAAAATTATTACGACTTTTTGTGTATCGTCCCGAAATATCGGGGGTGAGAACGCTTGATGCAATGTGCGAGCTTTATGCAGCCAAGTGATGGTCTTTGACCAGATTACAATCAGGATGCACCTGCTAATCAGGATGCACCCGTTGATTTCAGGACTCCAACCTCGTATCGGGATGCACCACCATTTGATCGCCGCTAACAGGACGACGCCCTCCATTTTCCCCTCAGTATTTGGTAAGCAGAGGCCTCTTAACCACGGAATATCCATTTCTCGTAACGGAGGGAGGCTTCACCCCAGTGGAGACAGTGTTGAGCCCCTACCTAGCAATTAACCCACT